CAGGTTGCCCAGAGAGGTGGTGGATGCCCCATCCCTGGAAACATTCAAGGTCAGGTTGGCCGGGGCTCTGAGCAACCTGCTTGAGTTGAAGCTGTCCCTGCCCACGGCAGGGGGGTTGGACTAGATGACCTTTAGAGGTCCCTTCCAACCCAAACTATTCTGTGATTCTATTCTATAGTTCTGTGATTTTTGACCAAGGCCTTAAGTAGCAGGTACTTTAAACCAGGTTATTCCCAGAAGTTCCATCCTCCTCTTGTCATGTTAAATCCTTTCTTAACTTTGTATTCTGTCTGCCCACCAAGAGCCAACTATCACTTACTTACAGAAAGCCTTTTGACTAGCTCTCCCAGCCGGCCTGCAAAACACACCCGGGGGTGTGGGGGCGTTACTGTATTAGACGCACAGCATTTTTAGGTCTTCTGTATGTATGACACAGGCAGATCATTTGAAAATTGCGACATGCACATCAACCGTGTGCAGATTTTCTGCCTTCCTGATCCATTGTAGACCGAGAACTACTGCTAATAGGAGCTTCTGCCCTTTCAATAGTTTGCACTTTGTAGTATGCATTTTTGTGAGACGTTAAAAATCACTTGAACTAATACTATTCATTCAAATTTGGGGAATTGGTGAGAGAGAGGTGCTAACACATCTGGCCACAGAGTAAATGAACTGATATGACTATCTCTGAACAGTGACAGAGCTGAAAACAAAATCTAGGATTCCTGGCACTTTCTCCAAGTTCTAAATATTAAGAAGTGAATGATAATTAAATACTCCTTTCCTCCTTCTTGGCTTTTTTTTCTGGCATTAGAATTGCGGTGTTAATGACAAGTGATAACAATATCTTGCCCATTGGAATGAAACACTTAGCCTGAAAGAAAGTCACATGGTTTGGATCTGATCTGTTTTACAGAGTTTAATCTGTTGTTGCTCTCTAAACGTGAGTCTAATTGTAAGAAGGCTCTGTAACTGTATCCATACCCAAGGCTCTTTTTAATGTTAGCAAACGTGAACATATATGCATGTGTTTAATGTACAATGTACGTATATGCTTTCCTATGTTGTCATAATTTGAATTTGCAGAAAAAGGGCCCTTACATGTTTCCATTTGCTTAGATAATGAGATGTATTAAGAGTGCCAGAGCTAAAATAATGACATACTTAATAGTAAACCTATATTAAGTAAATTCCCAGGAGGATCCTGTTACCCTTAGGGGAAACTGAATTGTCTGTCTGAACTGTTTGAATTTGTTTGTCTTCTCCCCACACCTTTTAGGACCTTGTTTCCTGAAAGCGGACGTCTGAAAAGAACAGAACAGCTGATGATGACAGCAGATGTTGATCCAACTCTTCGTCCTTTTCAGCTCTCCATGTCACACTTTAGAAATCTGTGCAATACATACAGAAAAATGTGCGATGAAGACCCAAGCCTTTTTGCGTACAGTTACAGAGAAGAACTAAGGCAAAGGAAGAAGACAAGGAATTTACTTAAAAGTACCAGTCAGCCCGAACAGACTGAAGAGGAAAATCAGCTGTAACAGCTGTAATTGCAGCAGACTAATTAAAAAAAAAATCAGTTTTAACTCCTTGATCTAGAGGTGTTGATTGAGTAAAAGGAGGCTTAAATATTCCTACATCTGTGCAGGTACGGAAGAACTACTTTTGAGAAAGTGGTGGAGAGAGAGGGCTTTCCCATTTTATTCATTCTTTCCATTCAGCTGCAGACAAAAGTGAAAAGACAGTCCAGTTACAAGGTGCCTACAGGTTCTTTTTACTTCAGGGGAACGGCTAGAACACATACCGAGAACAAGGTGTGTTGTGAGACATGTAATTAAGTTGGGATACTTCTGAAATAATTGAGTTTTGTATGAATGAAAGTGCATTATTGAAACGTAAGAAAAAATACTTTTCATACTTCGGCATGTAAGACGGCGTTTGGGGTTTTGTGCTCTTTTTATCCTGGAACATCCTCCTGTGCAGAGTGATTTAAAAAACAAAAGCCAAAACTCTTGTATAAATATACTTACAGGAGGGTAAAGTGCACAGATTGCCTCAGGGTCTGCTAATAGTCTTCTCATTTATGCAGAATCAAAGAATTTGGGATTTAAAGCTCTAACTAGAGAAAAGCAGCATGATAAAAAGTAGAAAACATGGCTAAGTACAATACTTATTTGTCTTTTACTGTACAGGCTGGTAGAGAAAATAAAAAATACAGTCAAATAAAAGATTACAGGCCAAGCTTTGTTTTTGTATTTACACATATGTATAAAGTATAAACAGCATCCTGAAACTTACAAAAATGAAATTCCTGCACTATTGTGCACTAAAGCACATTAAAATAACTTAATTCTGCTTTAAATAAAGCAAAAATGAAAACCAAAAAATAAAATGCCCAAGGTATTGAAAAAGTCATTTTGCAATGCTACTTTCCATTGTAATCCCCTCTGCCACTCACTAGCACCTTTTCCACATTACTTAAAATGCTAACGAGGCCATCCTTCCCCTCCCCTCCCCAAGAACACTACATCGTCCCAGTAGCTGCTTGAAAGGGATGAACTGATTTACAGACCTTGGCCAGCTTAATCTATTTTTGATCCACAATAAATTAAAATAACTTAAGAATCCTTTACAGCTGTTTCTGTGGAAAAAATGTATTAGTGCACAAAATCTGATAGTAGTTTTCCTGCAGCTTCCATGAATTTACTAGTTTTAAAGCAAAATAAGTTTGTTGAATTTTATGTGGACTTCAAATGAGTATTTTAAATATAGTGCTTAGAAAGCTAGGACTTCCCATGCCTCTCCACAGCTTCATAAAAACAGTCCTCATTAACTACAGATGTTAAACTCTGGACGCTAAATTCTCTCTCTAAAATAGAGTTCAGATCCAGGTTTGCAGCATCGGAGTGACTGTCAAGGGACTGGTGACGTTCTTGCATTGCCACTAAAGTTCCTCTGTTACGCTTTGTGCTGTTGACTTTTCTCTTCACTGGGCAGAAATGGCCACGCACCAGCTTTGGATGCTCTCTTGTCTCGAAGCCGTCTCCTTCCTCATTTTCAGCAGCCTGATCCCGTTCGGAGTCAGTACTCGGTTCCTCTGAAATCTTCAGCCGTTGGAACCGTATTTCAATGTCTTTCGTAGGGCTGCCCTTCTTTAGGCTCTGGTAGTCATCGTCGTCATCATCATCGCTGAGAATATCAGATTCTTTGACAAGAACATTAGAAAAGTCGGACGCACAGCTCTGTACGTGTTTATCGGGAGATGAACTTTTGGGCTCCTGTATGCTCTCAGCGGTGTGGCAGCTGCTGCTCTGAGTACTGCTGCTCAGGCTGCACTCATCGGAGTCCTGGAAGGTGCCTTTCCCCGGGTCACCGTTCCACTCGCTACTGGATGAATTCTTCAGTATCTTCAAGGACCTCGTGGAAGCTGTGCAGAGGAAAAAAGCTGGGGTTTTTTTCAGCAAAACATCATCTGGTTATACCGTCTGTCTCAACAGCCCACTTATAATTACAGTGTACATAGTTCATTTGATAATCATCCCAGGTCAGACGTGTCAGCATTCTGACACCGACAGTGCGATCCCGTGTCGGAGCTCTCATTCCACCTACCCCAGGGCTATATGCTTGCCTTCATGTGCAATACATACAAAATCCTCCAAAAACTGTAGTAATGATTTACACACATCCGCAGGAAAGCAAGACTGATTCAGGCACCTCAAGCACTGGAGGGCCAGGTTGCAGGTGGGAGTTGAACTGTCCCAGTTCCTGTGATGGTAAGGGGATTTTACAGACAACTGATCAGATGGAGAACTTGAAATACTAGTAGCTACTCATTTAACCAAAACGTCTGAAGCCTGTTCTTAATTAGGGTATCTGCTGGGATGCAGATTTAGCGCACTGAAAGAAGCAAGACCCCTGCCTTTTGCCAGTTGTTTTAGCTTTAAATGTTATTAGGGCTGAGTTACTAAAGGGAACCCAGAGGGAAGAACGCTAATGCTGTATGCCAAAGGGAGTCTGTTTCTTCCCAGCAAAATTAATTTGGGCCTTATTAAGTCTTCCCTTAAGAGAGCTAATGAAACATCGCAGTGTGGGGGGGATGGCAAGCTTGCTTATCGCCTCTAGCCCTTGTCATGCCCCGAGTTGTGGAGAAACTCTACCACCTCCCCAGCCCGAAAAAGAAATGGGATTTGTGGGTCTGGCACGTGACACTACAGTCATGGTAATAATTGCGAGCCTTCTGCCAGCGCTGGAGTCCAGACTCCGTTTCTCACTTTGACAACGTGTTTCTTACCCAGTTTGGCTGTTGCAGGTACACGGTTCTTGAGTGGGACAAGGCGGTCTTTACATCCTTTTTCCAGCGGTAGCTCACATTTTATGTGACGTCTGAAATTCTCCCGCAAAATAGAACGGATCACCTTCACGATGTTAGTCTTGTTCTCACAGTCACTGCAAGTTTAAGAAAACAGAGAACCTAATTTTCCCCTCTGAAGTAAGACACTGTTGGGATAAGATCTGCCCGCCTCTTTTCTGCCGATGTGCTTTAGTGCAGTGGTTTTTTTCAGTAGCTTGCTTTAGTAGTGGTTTTGCAGCTAAAATGTCTTTATGTGGCGTTAGGCATTTCACACACTTTGTGTTTTGAGATCTTGGTTACTTCCCCTTAGAAAAATGGCCTGAAAGGTAACTTCTGTACCAAGGGATCGCCCCTTAAGTGGTCTTTATCAGAAGGTAATTTCTGCTAACCAGCTGAGAGTCTGATAAAATCAGTTACTTTGCCCATATCGTACTGGAACTTATGATCATACGTCTGTGCAGGTTTCTGATGCTGGATCGCTGTGCCAAATTCACTCCCATTTCAAATTGTTACACTTTATGCAGTTAAACACTGGCGTAGTGCCTGGATTCAAAGAGTGAGAGCTGCATTAGAAGTGCTGATGCAAAGGTCACGCAGGGGAAAATTTTACTTTTTTAATTCCATTAATGTGATTTGTCAAATACAACCTCCATGTAAAGCTTACCTGCTGCACAACTGAAAAATTGTTTCTGGCCTGCCTTCTAGTTCTGACTTCGTGTGAATCAGTTCCCAGATACAGCTGTTCTCTGTTCCTGTGCATGGAAGGAAATGTTATTTTTGTATATACTTCACAAAACCTTCGGCATTAGAAAGACCAGTGTAGCGCTCCTCCACCCCTGAAGACAGCGTTAACATAGCCACGGGTGGATCCACAGAAGATCTCACCTGAGATGGGACCCAAAGGAAGCCCCCTGAACTCCCCTGTTGCAGCAGCCTAGCGCTGCCTTTGGTAAGTTGCTTTCCCCCGTCCTTACTGATTCTCACTGCCTTCCAGCCTGAAAAGGCCTTCTCCCAGGTGCACAAAGCATTTATTTGCTCTGAACACCTAGTGACACTTCACAGAAGATAAAGAACTGGATAGGATCATAAAGATCAACTCAGAGGGAAAATAAAAACACAGCCCTCTACTACCACAAATTACACAGTCAACTCTCCCACCTTTGGAAAAACCCAAGGGTCAGCACGCACAAGCATAAGGGCGTCACCAGGACGTCAACCATGGGAAATCACCTTCCTGTTCATGGTATCTTTTCATTGGGGATTTCCATTCTGTCATTCCTTCACATCATGTTGCATCTTCCTGGACTCACGGAAGAAGCCAACCCACCAAATGAAGAACGTCCGTTAACGTATCAAGCCTGTACCCCCTGAGTGTAGAGACAACAGCAGATACTGTTGTCTCTACACCTGCCTGTTTCCAGAGGCTCCAGAAAGACATATGGAAGAAGCAGTATTACAGAATCCCAGAAAAGCCTTCGGTCCTAAAGTATTCAGTGCAAGGGAGTTACCTGCTGTGTTCCCCAGTCGAACTTGAAGAGCAGATAAAGGAATCAGCCAGCGAAATTTAAATGGATCCAAGTCACCATAATTATGTGCAGCACGAACATTAGTAGGCTGCGAAAAGAAAAACAACAAGGGTATTTCTAAGAAGTAAAAAAAGCAGGTTTTTTTTGTGTTACTCTTAAAAGACCTGCCTCTGAAGAGAAACTAAATTCATTAGACTTTTTCCTTCAGTACCCTAATATGTGCTTGTAAACGTAGTTGACATGGTGATAGACACAACCTTTGGAATTTGTAATTGCTTCAACTTTTAAAAGCACTTCTTTTTAATGGGTAAAAATAATACTTCGCATATAAGTACTACTAGGGAACTAGTTTCCCATGAAGGAACCCGCAGACTGTTGATTAGCAGAATACATTAATCACGTAGCTGCTGCTGCTACTTTTAGAGCCCCTCCATCTGTTATGACAAGCACGGTGCAGTACTTCACCACTGGTACGCGGGAGATACAACTTGCTACTTGACTTCAGCATTCCAGTTTTCTAAATGGGGACAGAGGAGGTTGTGTTTATAACGCCCCCTCTCCTTTCCTGCCAGGGTGGTCAAGGGTCTATACACAGAGGTCTTCAATCTACACGCCACGTTAAGGTAGGCCACTGTAAATGCCATCTGGGAGAATGAATGATTCCTACATGGCAATCTTTCATATTCCACCTGACAGGACTAACGTGGGGCTCACACAGAGCAGATGCTGCTGCTTACTAAATAACAAAAAATATTTACTGCTACACAAATACCGAGCACTTGTTTTAGCTCTGACAGCTAGAATTCCAGTCTAGCGAGGGAAGGTGGCATTTCACCACAGTCACTCCCCCTTCAGCACCGGTATGGTCCACCTCGCACTGCAGTAGGATCCTGTGCATAAACACCCACCACCTCCAC